ATTTTTTCATTTGTGCCATCAGGGCGTTCAGATGACCCGGATGGAGGTCAGAGGGCAAGTCAGAGGGCTGCACCGAACGGCCCATCTGTTTTTCTAGGAGGGGGAGGAGAGGCTGGAGCATGTGTTGACAGCCTGAGTTGTAGACTCCCCGGGCAAGATTATCGGCCCACTCCTTGGTGATAGGGTGCTGATCAAGCACCCTGATCCCCTCCTTCTGGCGCTCTTCTCCGGCCAGTTTTTCCAGATGCCTCCCGAAGACAGCGGGGAGCTGTTCGGTGGCGTACTTCTCCTTCAGAGCCAGAAACTCCTCCGAAGTCTTGAAGGAATCCCGAACGGCGGAAAGATCAACTGTCATTTCGGCCGGTCCGTCCGGGATCTGAGGAGGAGCTTCAGAAAACTTGACCTGAGCGGCCTCAGCTGCCGCGATTTTGGCTTGGAGAGAGCCCACCCTGACACGAAGCTCCCCGGCCTCAGCTTCTAGCTTCTTCCGCTCCTCGGCAAATGCTCGCCGTTCAGCTTCCACTGCCTGCTCAGCTGTTTCCTTGGCCATCAGCAGGCTTTGTTCCTTTGCCTGCCTGGCCTCTCTGAGTTTCAGGCTGTATATTCCCGCCTAATGATCAGAAAGTAAAATATAAGCACATGATAAGTTATCAAGCAAAGAAAAGGAAAGAGTGAATTATGAGCATAAGATAATGAGCTACCTTCAGGACAGTCAGAGCAATACACTCCTCGGCCTCCTCCACCGGTATCGGGGGAAGATTGTGGCCATTGAGAAATCCTGACGTGGACCAGATCTGGCTCGCCGGACAGCCACCCCGCTCCAACATCTCGTGAGCAGGATCGTAGAGGGAGATCCGCTCGAACTGACTAGCCAAGTCAGCCTGATGGGCAGCCACCTCCTCAGCAGAAAAATGGTGGGACTGCTGGTCGGAAAAAAGCTGATCCATCAGCGTGTCAGCATGAGTTTGCTGATCAGGAGCAACCTGCTGCACAGGTTCTACATCCCGAACAGGTTCAGGCTGTTCGGGGAGGAGGGGGGCGGGTTGGGAGGATGTCCCCTGATCGGCCTTCCTCAACCTCTTTCTCTTTGTCTTCCTCTGCTGCTTAGGAGGAGAGGTTGGTGGCTCGTCATCAAATCCAACAGTGAAAAGCCTGCTGTCATCCATGGCCGGTTGTTCGGGGTTATCTCCTTCGGACTCTGATTCGCCTTGCTGAGGGGCTGGCAAAACAAACAAAAGCGCAAAATTAGTACCGAGCGGTTCGCACGTGGATTTAAAGTACTATCACACGGGAAGGACCGCCCGGACCATGGTACTTGGTTTTCAGTCAAGAAACTTAGGAATACGGGCAGTACCTATCCCGGCTTTAATAAGCCGTTCGGGAGTCAGATATGGCATAATCTGGAAGCAACCACCCGCCTCCACAGCAATGATATCCTGGCTAAGGTCTTCAGAGATGAACGGTTCGGGGGACTTTGGCGGAAAGGCATTCCACTTTCTCGGGATTAGGCCGTTTGGGACAGATACAAAAAAGAACCGATCTTTCCATTCCTTGATGGAGGAGGGAGCCTTGGAGAACAAAATATGACCTGATCGGGAACTCGCGACAAGATAACCCTGGGCTTGTTGTGGGATGACCGAGAAAAAGTAATGAAACAGATCTAAGGAAGGGGTCACCTTAGCTTCCACGCAACGACAAATAAAACCAGCCATTGCCCGGTAGGAGTTCGGCATTATTTGGGCTGGCACTATATTGTAATAATTTAAGAGGGAAACGAAGAAGGGGTGAAGGGGGAACCTAAGGCCAGCCTTAAGGGAATCAAAATGGACCACGACCATCCCTGGGAAGTGGCGCATTGGGTGGAGCCCCGATTGGAGGCGGAAGTTCACCGAATCAGGAAGTAACATCTGGATTTGGGCCCGGTTCTGGGCCGTGAGCTTTTGGCGCCTAAGCCTAATCAGGGCTAGGTCAAGCTTATGACAGGGAACGCCGCTTGGAGGACCGGCTTTCATAACTTCCAATTCATCTCCCGATTTGGTGCCATCAGGGTAAACGTCGGAGGAGGAAGAGGAATCATCACCGTTAACTTCCGCCGGAATAGGGACAACTTGCAGCACATCGTTGAGGTTTTCCTCTGGGATTGCAGTGCCGGAAGTAGAGGGTTCAGATGAACGAAGGGGTGCCATTCTCACCGAACGAGGGAACTAAACAGTAGAAGGGAGTTCGAAGGATACCTGAACAGAAGCAGCGGGAGAAGCTCTAGAGAGAAGGCAGAGTACTAAGCCGGAGATATCAAATTTCGAAACCCAGAATCAAAACCAAAAGAGCCCATTTATACTCTGTCACGCCGATTCAGCTGCCAATCAGAAGAGGACACGTTTTTTGTAATGATGACAGAGACACGTGTCGCACAGAGAATCCTTCTCAAGTAATCATGACGTTTATCGGAGAAGCGAAACGGCAGTTGCAAATAACCGTCAGAACATGCCTCGGGAACCAGCGGAAGTCCATCCGATACTCACCCGAACAGCATTCGGGCAATAATCTTCTACTTCCTTATGCGCTCACTACCGTTCGAGACATAGGAAGTGGGGGACTAGTGTTGGGATATTGGGTCCAGGCCCAATATCCCTAGGCCCAAATCCGGGAAGAAGCAGCAAGCCCAAAGAACTCCCGAACGGCATTCGGGATAAAACTTATACTTGGAACATTCCGGGAAACAATTATGCCAAGGTATCAAGGCCCAAATATCGATCGGCGTTCGGGATACTTCAGGTAGAAATTATCTCCTATGGCGGGATCCCACACACCGAACACCTTGACCGAACGGGCAATCAGCAAGTGGAGGCCGCATTTAATGCTGGATCATGGCGGCAGCAAGTGGGGGCATGGGTGCTTACATGGCAGAGGTGATAGCCTACCAGATTCGACCACGTGTCCACCTTACCCATCCCCATTTTAGTATAAATATCCATGTTTAGATCATTGTAAAGGGTTAGCATTTTAATACTCAGAGCTTAGCAATAGATTTACATCTCCCATCCTTGTAATCTCATATTCATCTACCGTTCGGGTAATTTCAGTGTAATTGCTTAATTACAGAATATAAATAAGTTCTTGAGTTGGATATTATTTCACTATTTTATATTTTACACACATTTCAACCCTACCCAATATCCCCACAATATCCAAGGCTTGTGTTGGGCTTTCGGATCTTCGGGAATAAACTTCAACAATTGGTATACCGTCATTTTCGGTACGGTATCATACCGTACCGATCTATTTCGGTACGGTAATGGTAAATGTTTTCAAATACCGCGGTATACCGGTATAATACCGTACCGACTGTCTACTCAACAATTACTTTTAATTCTAATATATTGTAAAAATCCATTACAATTTCGAAGTCAAAATTAATACTTAAGTTGGTTACAAATACAAAAATAAAGGTCCAATTTCAAAAACCCACTATAACCTTATAAGCTTCTACTACGCTAACCTTAATGACTAATGAGTAATGTACAAATGTCAAGAAACAAGTCCATCTTGTTCCAAGAGTTTGCAAGTCGTGATGGCTGGGCCGCTAAGTAGCTGACGAGTGAAGAGAGATACACTTATGAGATACACTTATGTATCTACATAGGGATTCCGCGAGTCGAGACACACAACTTTGTCCGAAAGTCTTATTCAATTTTTAAAAAATTATAAAAATGACTAAATACACAATATCATATTAGGAATAAATGATTTTATATCCATGTTGTTTTAATAGTTTTATTTATTCTTGTTAGAGATCACTATTGATTTAATTATATCCATATTGTTCAAGTTATTTTAGGAGAATGTGTTACTTTTTAATATGTGGCATGTTGAACTGCTTAAATATACTAATAATAATTATTGTTTAGTATTGAATTGACATCAATATATTATTAATTGTACTTCGTAACACTTTAATAATAGATTTAATATGTCGCTAGTAATAACGATTTAGTATATTTCGTTAGTCTATGATAATTTTTTGTATTGAGAGACATGCACGGTAATTTACCGATACCGTACCGTTACCGAACCGAAACTTCGGTATACCGAAATGCGGTATACCGAAACTTCGGTAAGGTAAAGGTATGCAAATTTTGCATACCGAAAGTTTTGGTACGGCAAAGGTATGAGAAAAAATATAAGGTATACCGTACCGAACCACCCCTAGATGGAGTAATATAGTTTTGATATATTTTGGTTGAGAGTTTCAGCTCTCAGAAAAGTTTTATTACTTACCTACAGAGTATATAACAATCATATCGTGAGACTTAAAATGTTATTCAAGAGCTAGATAAATAAGGTAGACTGTATATAAAAGTTATGGAGTAATTCTTTTACTCGTGGATGTAACTTTAATATGGTACTATTTGGTCATGAAAATTGATATCATTTTTCAGTTGAATTTGGGGCATTTGTATTTTTATTTTTCATTGCATAATATGATATGTTTATGTTTCGATTATGGCTACTTCTTGATGTGATGAGAATCTTTTTATAGGTTTTATTCATCTGACCTTTTAGGCAAAAATTGTCTAGAAGTCTAAATCATGCAACTTTTCTTTGTGCAATAACACTTATTTTACTTAATAAAATCATATATAGCTTCAATATAATAACTAAATCTAATGGAAAATAAATTGTATGCTGTCAATCACAATATGCACCCTAGCTATTGTCTCCTTCATTAAAATCAGAATGTCACAAAAAATATATTCTAAACTCTTTTCTTAAAGAAAGAGATCAAAAGACTAAATTGAATATTTCTAAAACTTAGAAGGACTAATATCTTAAGAAAAATTGATAGCACCCATTTTTAGATAAAGAAATTACAAAAATGTGTAGATAGTTTACAAAAAATAGTAAGTCGCCAATGAAATTTAATGGATAAAAATAGGCACTAAGCATTTTTTTTTTGTTTAAGTAAATATATATTAATTTCAATTCGATGCAACTGTGTGTTACTAGGTTTAGACCGCAAACATGTTTAGATAATTAGTTAAAAAATAAGTCATACTCAATAAATTAGAACATGCATTTTAAACCAATGTTATAATCGATTAAATAAGTGATTTCCCATTAATAAAACTAAACAACAAAATCATTTTATCCCGTGCACGGCACGGGTAAAGATACTAGTGAGTGTATATATCATGATAGCATATGCTATGTGAAGAGTAGTTGCGCTTGCACAAAATCCTTGAACCCAAAGAAACCTAAATATCAAGGACAACATAAATATCAAAACAAATGAAATGGGAGAAGAATTTCAACGAATTGGCCGACAGAATGAGCAGTGCAGCCAAACGGCAAATCCCACAACACCACCACCAGAAGTTTTACTTGGGTGCAATATCCTTAACGGCACAGATCTGCTCCTCACCCATGGAAGACATGACGGTCACAATAAGGTCCTTCCCTTCAGCAAATCCATCCTTGATCTACAATGCACACAAAACAATAAAGGTTAATCAAGGTTGAATAACAGCACAATTTTGACGATAAACCAATACTGGCATCAGTACAAAAAAACATTAAGTGTGAATTGCTTGATTAAATTTAGGAATATAACATAAGGGTAACTCTCTAAATAGGAGTAAAACATGAGTGCTTTTCCAAACGAGGAGTGCTTCTAATTTTCCCTAAATAGGAAAATATTGCTAAAGCATGTCGGTAAGGTTTCAGAATTGCATATATTATTACTGATCAGGATAAAAGTATAATACTCATATTGATGGAAAACACATAATCCGTAGGTTTTACTCCTACTTAGGGCATGTTGTGTATAAATAATGCATATCAGAGTGCTATCTAATATAACTTCAGAGCTTCAAACAAACAAACATTGTACGTTAACAAAATGACATCTTTATGACACCTCATTGAAAGAATACAATAGCGTCATGTGTCTTTTATGGGCTTCATGGAGCAGAATCCATTATAATCATTGAAATATACTCCGTATAACAAAATAAACTGTGGGTACCACCAGTGACCCAGTGTATGCTTACCTGTGCCAGCAGATTATCATCAGTTGGAAGTTTGAGGTCATCCTTGGTCTCACCATTTTCCATGAGCAGACTCACCTGCAACATTAAAAAAAATGAATAAGTTCATTTTACAAAGAAGAGACTACTAAAGTAAAAGTAGATCAGAGACATACAAATCCATCCTCTGAGATATCAATAAGCTGGTAATCTGTACGGGTAACATGAGGCACCTGCATTAAAGGAATAAGATTAAATTACACGTGATTACGTGAATAGAATAGAAACGTTAAAAGTTACTAAAGTCATAGTGGAACACGATTAGTGGTTGGGACACTTCTTTCAAGGGAAGAAGTGTTCAGTCATCAGCACAATATAATACCCCACAGAATGCAATGAACATAAAGTCTAGAATACTAGACATAAGTAAGAACCTTATTAGCTAAAATATAGGAGTATAACATAAACATATTGTAGACAGTTAAATTTAAGTCACTAATTTCAGTGAATCCAGCATTATAAAAAGAGAAAATTAGAGAATATAATTTACATCACAGTTATGTGAAGAAGGAACAATGTCTTCAAGTTTCTTAGAAGTGAATATATCAATCGCAACAAAGTGGCACTTAGCATGACCATGCTTGCCAGTCTTGGATGTTGAGACTTCCACAACCTACAGCAGTACATAAATTAGGTCATTATACAAAGCATGAAATTTTATAAAGAATGTCCATGTCACTACTTTGAATGATATAACATTATAATAACGAAAAAAGTGGACTAAGTTTGACTTGTCAATGAAGCAGTGATCTAGACCATCATGTAGAGAAACAAGTTAACTAAATAATAGGAGTTGGTTTACAGTTACGTAGACACAAAATTATATGAGATTTAACCTCAAAAAAATGATAATAAGGCTTTTACAGTTTTTTCTTATTCGATAAAACTTCATTTTACTTCAAAAGAGGGGTACAGCCCACATCAGATTAATTTGGAATAAGATAAGATGGAAAAGTACCAAATCACAGAATTCAAATCAACTCAGTTTCACAGCAGAAAAGTTTGAAATACACACTACCCTGTTCACACGTCTTTTTAGATATAATTGACACGGTTGATTGATCAGACTTGTGTTTTTCAAACATATCTGTAGGTTTACCTAAATTTATCGTATATAACTTGGAACTAGCTGTTATTGGCAGTTCTTTGCAAATTAAAGGGAAAGATAGCTTCAATCGATTATAGTGGATTCTAGTTGGGCATAAAAGAAATCGAAAAGGGCTATTTTTAAGACAGATGAAGTGAAACAGAAAACCAACATGAAGCAAAACCAATCAAACCCAATACCATAGAGTAAGAATAAACACATTTATTTAGCATGTAGCACAAAAACGCACAAAAGAACAACGGCAAACATAACCAATCAGATCCAGTGTTAATTAACATAACCAATTGCATAACGTAGTTACAAGAAGGATATGCACAGGCGCATGAAAATTGATATAAAAAGAGAACCTTGCAAGGGCGGTTTTTAATGAGCAGGTATCCGTTCTTACGGACAGTACCGGCTTGCTGGGGGAAGGTCTTGGATGCTCCGGCGTCGGCCTTGTTCTCGAACTGGTGCTCCTCGTCCGACATCCTTCCCGATTACTAAAAGCCGACGACTTGTGCAGAGAAGCCGATAGATAAGGGGAAGGCGATGCAGAGTCGGAGCTCGCGTTTGTTAGTGGTAGAAGAGAAGACTGGAGAAGAGGCCAATTTATGATAGGGTTTGATAGAAGAGAAGACCGAAGACTGAACCTTGGCCGTCAGATATGTGATAGCATCTAGGGTTAGATGCTCGTTCTGGTAAGGTTGGGAAAGACTGCAGTGAATCCTTGACTGGATTCTATGACGCAACAGTTTTTTTTACCAAAAATAAATAAAACGTTTCTTGAAAGTAAAAAACTTAAAAATAAAATCTTCCAAAAAAAGAGAGTTTTTTCCCGGAATAATGCTAATTAAATAATTAATTCCCGAAATACTGCCGGGTTAAGAATAATTCCCAAAATACTGCTGGGTTAACCACGGTTAAGAAAAGCCGCCACTCCAAGTGGCGGCTCTTGTACTGCATCACAAAAGCCGCCACTTGGAGTGGCGGCTCTTCTATTCCCTCACAATAGCCGCCACTCGGACTGGCGGCTCATTTAGTCAGAAATTTATACCTCACCTTCAATCGACGAACGAAGCCGCTGCAACCAACGACGAACGAAACCTCTGCAACCAACGACCTCCCTGTGCGACTCGTCCAAACGCGGCTCGAATCAACGGGAAAAGAGGCGCTGTGTTCCGGAATCGTTTGTGCTCCCTTCAACCGTCAACAACAGTTTGAATCGAGGTATTTCATCTTCTTTGCTAAACCTAGGTTCTTTCCTTAATTTTAGCTTGAAATTGTTCGAAATTGGTGTTGTATTTCTCGAAATTTCAGTTTTTTTCTGGTTTATTAACACTGGTAACATTGATTGAGACACAAAATATACTTCTTTTGTTCCAATTTTTCTTGAAGTACATTGGGTGCATGATTGCTTTCGGATAACCTTTAAAAAATTTGTGGATGTCAATTTGTTGCTTCAATGGGAATCAGACTGGTATTCAGGCGTAGACAATCCGAAGAAGATCGGGCGTAGACTTATCAGGATATTAAGACCTTATAATATTTGAATAAAAACATAGGAGTATAAAATGTTAATAGGATTTTAAAAAAACCACATGGATTTTTAGCTATTTATAGCTAAAAAACAATTCTAGAAAGGGAATTGTAGCTAACTGTAAGGTTAGTTAAACTTTACAGTTAGGTTGACAACCTGCATCTTATTATAGCTTTATAACAGTTTATAGCTGAAGTATATAATTAACAGTATATAAAAGTTAGCTGAAGTTAGCAATTCAGTTTAGTTTATAATATTATAAAGTAGTTATTAGTAGCAGTTATGATAAACGGTATAAAAATGTTATAAATGAAGTTTTAAATTACTGTATGTTACTTACTTTATGTTCACTGTTCATACTTCATAGCTAATATACATGTATGTTACTGTATAGACAACTGTATGTTAGCAGTTACTTATGAAGTAACTGTATTAAGTTTTAAATTATTGTATGTTACTTACTTACTTTATGTTCACTGTATGTTCCATGTTCATACTTTTTTTGGAATGATTTTTTTCGTAGAATATGTCTCCAAACTTCCCCATTGTTTGTCATTGGGGAGGAAATATTATCGATGAGTCAAACGAAATTCATTATGAAGGGGGTAGTCGAAAGATAATTGTTGTTTCCCGTGGGGTGGATGTGGCTGAATTAATGAATAAAATTTATACCGCCACATCCATCAATCGTATGAACAAGTTGATTTTGAAGGTTAAATATCCCATTCATGGTGGATCATACATGTTGATGCCTCTTGCTGACGAGGAAGCCGTTATGGGAATGTGGACTTTAATCGCGAATGTTGATATGCATACCATGGAGATATATGTAGAAGAAGCAACTGTGGTGCCCATACAACCTGACAACGCGTCATTATCTTGCCCATCCACAAGTGTTCCAGTTGTGATGAATATGGTTACACAGGAGAATGGAAGATACGTGAACAATGATGCAACGTTTCTGGATTCACAGTTCACTGACGACGATGCAGATGAAAATGTGAACCATGACACACTAACAGATTCAGATGAAGATGGTAGTGATCTCGTAAGTGGCAATGCTCCATCCAGCCACTACACTAAAGTTTATGAGCTCCCTGCGGGATTTGATGAATCATGGAAGGGTTCTACAACTTCTAGCCGCTTCTCTGCAGATGGTGAATTCGAGGTTGGGCAAGAGTTTGATGATAAGAAACAACTGATCAACATGGTTAGAGCGTACTCTGTAAAGAGGAACCAATTTTTCTCAGTTGTAGAGTCTGACAAACACAAATGGGTGGCAGAGTGTAAGAGGAGAAAAGAATGTGGCTGCACTTGGCGGATCAGGGCTACTAAGAAACATGAGAAGCTAGAGATGTTCAAAGTTGTTCGTTATGCAGGTCCTCATATACCTACTTGTCTAGGTAACGTCGATAACACTGACCATGCTGGTATCACAGCTCAGTTCATAGCCCGTGAAATTATTGATCTTCTTCGTACCGATCCATCACTAAAAGTCCGCACTATTAGTCAACTTATGAAGGAAAGGTACGGCTATATACCTTCGTACAAGCGAAGTTGGTTGGCTAAACAAAAAGCTATCGGTGAAATATTTGGAGATTGGGAGGCGTCGTATTCTGAATTGCCTCATTTCATGTTGGCATTACAACATTCCAATCCAGGGACAGTCGTGCATTGGTACCCACCTCTTTCAGGTACCAATGAGTTATTAATATCATTATTAAATCATATTAAATTTCATTTTAAATTTGTCCTCCTAATTTTCTCCATCTTTCAGGTACCACTGATGTTCAGCAGTTTCAAAGAGTTTTTTGGGCATTTAAGCCATCCATTAAGGGCTTTAAACATTGTCGTCCCTTACTGACCATCGATGGAACACACTTATATGGGAAGTATAAAGGTACATTGTTGGTGGCAATGGGTAGTGATGCTAATAATCAACTGTTCCCTTTGGCGTTTGCTATCTGTGAATCGGAGAATGGAGAGAGTTGGCCGTGGTTTATGGCGTGCATACGTCATTTTATCACACGCAGAGAATTGTGTGTTATTTCAGATCGACATGCTGGAATTATGAAGGCATTTAATGAGGTAGGTGGTGGATGGGAGGAGCCAGATGCAAGACATAGGCTTTGCATACGGCATGTCGCTTCTAATCTGCATACTCAATTTAAAGACATTCACTTGAAGAATCTGTTCATTTGGACAGCAAGTCAACGTCAAAAGAAGAAATTTGATGGTGGATTTAACAAGATAGGCGAAATGCAGGCACAAGCACGAGAATATCTAGCGAACATTGGTTTGGAGAAGTGGTCTTTACACCACGACGGGGGGTACAGGTATGGCACCACAACAACGAACATGGCTGAAGTTTTCAATAGTGTCATGAAGAGTGCACGATACCTGCCTGTAACCGCCTTAGTTGAGTTATCATTTTATCGTGTGAATGCCTATTTTGTGGAAAGAAGAGAAACTAGTAAGAGAAGATTAGCAGAAGGGCATCGCTACTGCCAGCAAGTGACCGAACTGATAGAGAAAAATACGGAAAAGGCAAAGCATCACAAGGTCACAATATTTGACATAGGCCATGGTTTATACCAAGTGGAGACGGGTCGTGGTGGTCGCACCGTGGGGAAGGGTGGCAGAAAACAAACGGTGAATTTGCACCGTCGCCATTGCACATGTCAGAAGCTGAATATCTATAAGATTCCTTGCTCACATATATTAGCGGTATGCAGACACCGTAGTTTATCCTATGATGCTTTTGTTGATAAATTTTTTTCTTCATCGGAGTATGCGGCTTCCTATAAAAAAGTATTTAAGCCCATACCAGATATAGCATATCGACCTACTTACACTGGACCACGAGTTGTGCATGACCCGTCGATGATTCGCGCTAAAGGTCGTCCGAAGGCTAAACGATTGAGAAATGAAATGGATGAAGGCCCTAAAGGTACTGTGAGATGCGGTAAATGCAAGCAAACAGGGCATAACAAGACGACATGTGCTAGAAGATCAGAGGGACACGTAGGGAGTTCCACTGGGTAATGTTGTTGTTTTCTCCGCAAATGCATTAGCAATATTAAAAAATAAATAATTTTAATTTAATAATAAAATAAAATAACTAATACACTTATTACTTTTACAGCGCCGATGCAGGTGTCAGTGGATCCCGGACCGATTGATCCTTCAGTCCTGACATTGCAGGCCACGCACCGGAGCGAGGATGTGTGGCATGGCCTGGATGTTCAGGTAGATAGGTGTCGTGAGCACCTACGCAGTATATTCCACACGGGGGTTGACGATAGGATTCTACATTACGTTCGATTAGCTGGGTTTTATGGTGTTCACAGATTAGTTTCGACTCTGCATATAGATAGAGCATTACTTACCGCTCTACTTGAGCGTTGGAGGCAGGAGACTCACACGTTCCATTTACCGGTGGGTGAGGTCACGATCACATTAGGAGATGTGGCTGTATTGGCAGGTCTACCGATCGAGGGTCGGGCAGTTACTGGGACTGCATGTAGACTGTGGGTTGATTTGGTACACAGATTGTTGGGAGTACGGCCACACCCTGGGACAGATATTCGGGGGTCCGCCTTGAGGATGGCTTGGTTGAGAGAGCATTTTGTTGGTTTACCTGCTGATGCTGATGACGATGTTGTGCAGCAGTACGCGAGAGCCTACATTCTGATGCTTATGGGAGCTTCCACGTTTGCGGACAAGAGCGGGAATGAGGTGCAGGTCTTGTATTTACCCATTCTAGAGTCTTTTGATGTAGCTGCAGTTTATAGCTGGGGTAGTGCGACTTTAGCATACCTATATCGGCAGTTATGTCGAGGTTGCCATCGTGATGGTGGAGAGATGGGTGGGTTTTTATTGCTCATACAGCTATGGTCATGGGAGCACATTCATATCGGCAGACCTGTCATACTGCGATATCATGGGGTAGATGGTGGTCCTCTTGATGATGATATGGATCAGCACGCTGTACTTGGGCCACATCATGTTCGTGGCGAGGATCCTTTGGGTCGTAGGTATGTTTATGATTTTTTTTGTATGACGTACGTGAATCCCTTTTATATTCTTATACATTACAATGTGTCAGATGGCTATTTGCTCATGTCACGCGCACGTCATCCGCTGCTGGATTAGGATACTACCGAGATGCTTTAGATCGCTTGTGTGAT